AGATTAGAATACATTTAACAACAACAGTCACAAAACCAAACTCACTGACACTGAGTAAATTCTGACTCATAATGAATGACCCTTTAGGACAGGGTAGCACTGCCTCTGTGGATTTCTGAGACTATAATGCTTTATCATAGTAGAAAGGTTCTCTTTCGCTCATGGAGTGGTTTCGAACTGCCAACCTCAAGTTATCAGCCCAAAGCAAAATCCATTACACCACCATGGCTCCTAGAATACATTTAGGATGGGCTATTTTCTACCAGTGCCTACAAATGTAATCCTTGAACAAAATGATGATGCTGAAACAAAATAGGCCATGGACATTGAATGTATAAACCAAGTATAATGGTATAAACTTACAGGGCTGAAAGTTAATATAAATAGACAAGAATGAGAAAAGCAGTAACTTATGACTTAGAAATGACTGGCCCTCTGAACTCAGTAGCAGATAAAGGGGACTGGGGATGGAAGTCATTGTTGCCGTATCTTCCATATTTTCAGTAGATCCTGGATGTTTTAGTTTTACATTTTTTAATTGTAATTTTACAATTGTAATTGTAATTTTTTACATGTAAATTTGCTTTAATTTATATTTCATTTTATTGGGGGCTCATACAACTCTTATCACAATCCATACATACATCAATTGTATAATGCACATTTGTACTTGATAAGTTTTACATTTGACAACTAATTTATACATACACAACACACACACAAGTCTGTGAGTGGCCAATGTGATCTCGGGTGAAGTGTACTGGCAAACGTGGCTGCGGTGATTCCCAAAGACAGGGTTGCAAATCCTTGAGAGCGGAAAAGGGTAAGTGTGGGTGTCATGATGCCCCAAGTTGTAAGCAAAGGGATTGAGTTACTGTTTGGGAGTGATTTGTTTTGATGGGCAAAAAACTTACAGTGTGACTTTTGTATGCAGAAAGGAAAAAAAAATCAAGATAGTGCTTCATTAACATATAGAAGAAAAAAAAGGATTATTATGAACTTATAATTTAGGGCTATGTAAAACAACAATTCAATTGAACAAACTTTATTGAGCAACTTTTATGTGCCAGGCATCGCCCACAAACAGATGCAAAGAACACAGAAATGATTAAAACATGAATCCCTTACTTCCGTTCATCATGAAGAGGAGGCAGGCACAAGTGAGTTCGAGAACCAACTACAAGCTGCATGCAAGGAAGGGCAGAGGCTTCCGTGAGAAAGTGATTCCTGGCTGAAATTTGAAGAGCTCACTGTGTGTTTTTTCAGGTGATTCAAAAGAGAAGGATATTCCAGGCAGAGAGAACAGTATGTGTAGAGGTGTGTATTTATTAGACTAATCAGTGATTCCATACTATTAAGTGTTTACAATTATAAGGAAGGAAAGTCAAGAGATCTGGTAGGAAACATTGAGAGAGTTCCGCTTGTGACAGGCTCTGTAATACCAGAAGTAAGGGTAGGATCAGGTAGTTTTGTTTTAATATGGGGTAATTTATGCATTGAAGGAGTGGTGGTTTGGTGGTAGAAGTTTGGCCTTTCAGGCAGATGTGGCTTGGAATATTAGTCATGTAGAACACCACTCATCTGTCAGTGGGTGCAAGTGTGTTGCTATGATGCTGAACCGGTTTGAATAGAACTTCCTAATACAAACGAGGAAGAAAGGTCTGGAGATCTACCTCTGAAAATCCACCAATGAAAACCCTATGGATTCCAACTATCCACCCAAACTGAATGTGGGGATGGTGCAGGACCAGGCAGCTATGTGTTCTGTGGTGCGACGAGTCTGGAGCTAACTGGACAGTAGTGACAAGAAGTAACCAACTTGCAAGAAGGTTTCTTTAAACCATTGGCACTGAAACATCAGCTTCTGATAGCATACTATCAAGGTTTCTGGGCTTCTTGGCC